TAGGATGGCATAAAGAGAAGTCATCAATCTCATTTTAGGGGGAGGGCTTTTAGGTTATCCTCTACAAGGATGACAAGATCTGACAATCCAGGCAACGGTGGAGAGGATAACCTAAAAAGAGAGTTAATTTGCCTCACAGCTTACTCAGTGCTCCTACTGTCTTCTTTCTTTCTTTTTTTCTACTTAACACACTTTTTATTTCCCTTCATCTATTTTGCCTTTTATTTTTAAAACAATCTTACTTTACATACTAATCCCAGTTCCCTCTTCCTCCTATCCTTCTGCTCCTCCTACCATCTCCCCACCCCACCCCCTATCCACGCCTCAGAGAGGGGAGTCCTCCCATGGGGAATCAACAGTCCATCACCTGAGGCAGGAACAAGGACCTCCCCACTGTATCTAGGCTGAGCAAGGCACCTCTCCATAGGGAATAGGCTCCAAAAAGTGAGTTCATGCACTAAGGATAAATACTGGTTCCCCTGTTAGTGTCCCCACAAACTGCCCACGCCACCTAACTGTCAACCACATTCAGGGGGCCTGATTTGGCCTTCTTCAGGTTGCCCAGCTGTCAGTCCTGAGTTAGTGAGCTCCCACTAGTTCAGGTCAGCTGTTCTGTGGGTATCCCCATCATAATCTTGACCCTTTGCTCCTACTTTCAAAACACAATTCCACTGAAAGTTTTTGTTCTAAGATCTATAGCACCTTTACATAAATGTGTGGGATATATATAACATTAAAATATTAAATACTTGTTCAGAGTTTCCAAGATTAAAATCTAAACCAAATAAACAAAACAGAATATAATTTCTAAAATAATAAAATAAAGAGCCAGAAGAATTAATTTATCTATAATAACTAACTTATTGATTTTATAGTAATTTGCAAATTAGTACAATTTTAAGTAGAGCACATTGAAAAGAAGACAAGTGCATTAAAGAACACCTGAGCTTTAGAATCAAGTAGAATATTTAATAAAGTCATGAACACAGTGATTGTAACACTGCTGAAATATTTAATCTGAGTCTGTAGATGAAGAGATAATTGGAGAACATTATACTTGCAGAAAATGCAAAATGGTTAAATTTATTCAAACACCTGTTTAATAGAAATGAAAGTTTTATAGAATAAGACTGAACCAGGTATCTTTCTAATATTTTATGCTTTCATTTCAATATTATTTAGTGTTTGTCATAGTTGGGGTTTCTACTGTTGTGATAGAACACCATGACAAAAAAACAAAATTCTGTAGAGGACAGGATTTATTTCTACATACATGTCCTGATGATAGCATATCATAGAACTCAGAGAAGAAATACAAGTGAGAAGCCTGGAGGAAGAGACAGAAGCAGAACCATGGGAGAATGCTTCTTATTGCCTTGCTCTCAATGGCTTTCTCAGTTTGCTTTGTTATACCAACCAGAGTCATGGGTCCAGAGGTAGGACCATCCACAGACAGTTGAGCCCACACACATCAGTCATTAATTGAGGCAACTTTCCACAGATTCAACTACAGGCCAATCTTACTGAGGAATTTTCTCACTGAAGATATATCTCACCAAATATATCTAGCTTTGTTTTAAATTGAGAAAACAAAAAACCCAAAACAGCAAAACTGGCCCCATGTCAGCTTGACACAGAAACATATTACGGTTCAGTTGTAATCTTTTTTCTATTGTTCATTACCAAGAACTGATACTAAATAAATATCACAATATAAAATACTTTGACTTTTAGAAATCCCAGTCTTTAAAATTTCAAAGAGTTTAAAAGCTTAGTCTCTTTTAAGCATCAAAGTCTCATTTGTATTTCAAAGTTTATCTAAAGCATTCAAATTTTCTCAAAAATATCCAAAGTCTCTTTAAAATTCCAAAATGTTAATAAACTTCCAGATGCTCTAAAATGCCAAAATGTCTCAGTTATGGATTCCTGTAAAATGAACAATAGGTTTCATATACTCTTATCAAGAGGGAAAAACAAGGATATAGTCACAATCAAAACAAATCCAAAATTCATCAGTGTATGGAGTTCAGTGCTTTATTTTTGGACACTCTTGGTTCCTTGTGTGACAATGGGCCTGGTCTATTTCTCTAGCTATGAATATTGTAGCAGAGTCCTCCAGTTGGGGAGGGGTAATTTATCAAATTTAAGTGACAAAAGGCAGTGGTGCCTTAGTTCTAACAATGTATTATTATTATTCTTTCCCTAGATAAATTTTCTTATTTCTCTCTGCCACATAACTCTTGATCTCAGACTATGTACCTCTGATTGTTGTCAACTAACCGACCCTTAGACTGCTCCACCAGGAGGGCATTGTACCCACAAACTTTATCAAATTTAGTTTATAATTTTATGTTTGACAAAATACTTTTATTTTAAAGGGTAACTGATCTAATTGCTTAAAACCATCTAATAATAATTTAAATATTTAAACATTTATAACCTACAAGGGACATGGCAAGTAAAAGCTATGCTCATAATTGGTGTCATGAACATATTCATTAAAACATTTTGTGGATCTTTCTAGCTTTCTTACTCTCACATTCATGAATATCTTTAGAGCCAATTAAAATATTGAAGATTCTCCTGGGATTTGCATGCACATCAGTAGACTTAAACCATTCAGAAAATAGATACTTAGGTTTCTGCCTGTAGTTTAGATATGTCTTTCTACAAAATAAAAGTACTACCTTTTACCTTTTTAGAAAACAAAGTTTGGCACCTGTTATTTGCTGCTGTTCCTTTCTCTCTCTTGCTCTTTCTATTTGTCATTTCTTCCTTTTTTTCTTTTGTTTTCTTTTGACTTAAGAACTTTTAAGTCTATCTTTGCTATATTTAAAGTGACTCCTTAAATGTGACAAAACTTTGAAACCTGGACATGTGAGGAGCAATTTTTCCTACAGAAAATAAATGTGATCAAATGAAAGATTTGGGGATGGTGAAACTATCCTGAGTGTCCACATGAAATCTTATCATCACTATTTACTTTTACAAGGCAGAATCACAAAAGGAGAGACTACACATAGTACTCTCTAGAAAAATCTGTTTTTCTGTAGAAAAAACTTAGCATTTCTGTTCACATCAAAGGAGGAAATCTGAATCAATACATTTAAAGGAGTGCTCCACTAATCATCAATTACTTGAACATCTATATCCTAACAAGGAATAATCAAATTTGACAAAAAATTAAAATAATTTTCAATTAATGTCATGATGAATATATTATATGACTGACCATGGATTCTTGAAGTTATGAATAACACATAATTCTGTTTATTAGTACTGAGATGCCATATACATTTTAATGTGTGCTGAACCCAGAGCGGGTCTGACAAGACAGCTGATGATCAAGTCACTGATATATAGAATATGAATATTCTTAAAAGCTATTGGGTGTGTTGACTAGGACTGCACTACTTTTAATTGTGTCATCCAAATAGTGTGTAGTTTAAAATTTAATTGCTCATTCCTGAGACTATTTCCTTTAGAAATTTCAGAATTAACCATGAATATCAAAATCATGGATAAGGGTGATTGCACTGTACTTATATTTAAGCCACACTCTTAATAATATTTAGAACTGTATGTATAAAGCACACTCTAAATACTAATATGACTGAAAACATCACTCAAATTCTTTGCATTGAAACTAAAAGCACTGCTGAGAGATGTAAAGATGACTAAATAGTGGAGAAATTTATGCATTGGTGCAAGTCTTAATATTGTTAAGGTGCAGATTCTTACAACAAACATAGATCAAAAATGGTCTAAGTCAAAATACCAATAGGTTATTGAAGGTGGGACCATGGCATGATTTTTTAAAAATATGTACAAAAGTTCAATAAACAAAAGAAGTATAATTTAGTTTAAATATAATAATTTTGAGACCATAGGCTATGTTTTATATCAGATTTACTAGACAGCCTCATTAATCAATACAGCATCTCATTGACGTGTGAAATAGAAATGATTTAGGAGAAAGACTCTAGGTAGAATAAATGTGTCCAACTGTTTTTACACTTGCCAAATAAAATTAACAGGGAAAGTGTAGTCTTTGTTCACAATAGTTTGGAACAAATGGTTTATCCTATGTGAAACATAAGCTGCAAACCTGACCTAAGTATATTCTAGAACCAAATGTATGGAAACTATATATGAAAGACACATTGCACAAAGCCTTTACTGTGAAGTTCTTATTACTTTTAGTATTTCCTTTCAAAGTAGTCAAACATATTAAACATAACTTAAAAGGCTATAGATAAATAAATAAATAAATAAATAAATAAATGATCTGATGTGTGCACCTAAAATGGTCAAAACTCAGCAAAATTGGTATATTGCCACAGCATAGCATTAAGTAAGATGAATGTATCACTAGATTGTATTTATAAAATTTTGAAGTTGAAACAGGTGACTGTATATAAATAATAGATCAATGAAACTGCTAAAATGTGATCTTCATACAAAGACTCAGATTATTTAAATATTGTCATGATTAATAGGTGAATTAAATTTACAATTAGCAACAAATACGGATAGCACAGGGAATGCACTCTTCTTTTAGTGTAATAGCGACTTAATTACTCATTGAAAACAAACCAGAGCAATGCACAGGAATAAAAATATAAATTCAATATTGTATAGTACTCATAAATAAGGTTATAAAATGTCTAAGTGAAGGATATACAAATCATTTGAACTATGTGTTTAGATATATTCAGGGGAAAGAGTTGGCTATCCAAAATCGCTTCTTATAGAATTAAAAACCCAGAACAGAGTATGAATAACAGTTGAAGAAAAACACATTATAATATAATTTGCTTAATATATTTCCATAAGCATTGATAAATTTATTAGAAGATGCTTTCTGTCCAAATATGTTCATTTAATTCTTTCAGACAATATGTGTATGATCATTTTCTAGAGCATGATATTTAATAATGGAAAATTGTAGGTGAAATACCAAGGAAATTGAAAAAACTTGGGAATAATTCTACTTCGATCAGGAGTAAGGTATGCATTTCTAGTATTCCTGTGTCATATCTCTTTAAAATTGTTGTGACAATTGTCCATTAGAAGAAACACATTAAGCACATAGTTTTAAAAGTGGAAGGAAGGTAGCCTGTGTCAAATACAAACATAACATAGCCTACAGATACCACACTGTGAATGATAAAACTGAAAATAAGAACAGGATGTAAACCTGCCACCTTGAAGGATAATGTCTAAGAAAATTGTAAAATTGAATGAATATATCAACCAAAGATTCAGGATGTATTGCCAACCTAAAGAAAGATAAATATGTAGAAATCTAGTTTAAGCAGTACCCAGCAGATGACAACACCATATCTTCAAATTGATGGAATAATGCAGTTATCAATCTACTTTCTATAAACAGTGAAAAGATGCTTCAACAATGAGGAGAAATGAAGACATTGCATTCAAGTAATATTTATCAACAGCCAGCATACAAAGTAAAATATAAGAGGACATTCTTCAGCCAAACTAAAGTATGACTATATACATAGAAGTAAAAAGAACAATATATGGCTAAATCTAAATGATCATTGACTTGAAAAATGCATATATATCTCAAAGTGGTTTAAATATATATATAGTATGTTTGTGCATCAATGATAATCATACCTAGCTAACAAATTTTAAAATAAATATATTGGTGGTGATTCCCAAACACCACCTCTGTGCTGGTCAAATTACCTGAGCATGTTAATACATATGGATATTCTTTGTGTACTGGCTAGTTTCATGTCATGTTGACACAAGTAAGAGAGTTATTAGAGTGGAGGAGTTTCAATTGAGAAAATGTCTCCATAAGTCAGTGCTGTAGGTTATCCTGTAAGGCATTTTCTCAATTAGTGATTTATTTGGACAGGCTGAGCACATTGTGTGTGGTGACACTTCTGAGTTATTGATCCTGGGTTCTATAAGAAAGCAGGTTGAGCAAGCAATGGGGGGCAAGCAGGTAAGCAGTTCCCTTTCATGGCCACTGCATCAAATCCTGACCCAGGTTCCTTCCCTGTTTGAGTTACTGTCCTGATTTTCCTTCATTGATGTGAAGTGTAAGTCAAATAAACCCTTTTCTCCTCAACTTGCTTGCAGCCATGGTGTATCATCACAACAATAGTACCTCTAACTAAGGCAGCATCTTTAGGTTTTCTTTATTTTCTTTCAATTAAGTTATTAATTTTTAAATTTTGTATGTCATTTTAAAATCATTTTTATTTGAATTAGAAATAAGATTGATTTACATGACAATCTCAGTTTCCTTCTCCCTCCCATCCTCCCCTACCACCCCTCCCAACTAAAATATTACCTATCACATAGCCTTTCTTCTATTCTTCACCTGACTCAACCTTTCTGCTCTCTCATGACCTCTGCATCCTTCCTCTTCTTCCCTTTGCATGTACATCATTTTTAAAAGAAAAGGATTCTCCTCCCTCTCCCCCCCACAACACTCCCATTTTGTTCAGTAGTTCTTGTCCCTTTCCCCTTCTTCCGGGACCACGTATGTCTCTTTTAGGGTCTTCTTTCTTTCCTAGCTTCTCTGGACGTGTGGATTGTAGTCTGGTAGGCTGTTAATCCTTTGCTCTATGTCTAATATCCAAATATGAGTGAGTACATTCCATCTTTGTCTTTTTGTGATAGAGTTACAGCACTCGGGATGGTTTCTTCTAGTTCCATCCATTTGCCTGCAAATTTCAAGATTGCATTGTTTTTTTAATTGTTGTTGGTTTGTTTTTTTTCCAAACAAAGTAGTACTCCATTGTGTAAATGTACCACATTTTCTCCATCCATTCTTCAGTTGGGTATATGCCTAAGAGTGGAATTGCTGCATCTTGAGGTAGTCTGATTCTCATTTTCAGGAGAAACCACCATACTGATTTGCACATTCCCCATGGAGGGATATTCTGTTAGCCTAGATACAGGGGGGGGGGGCTCTAGGGTCTACCCCAAAACACTTGACAAACTTTGGTGATCCCTCATGGAAGGTAAAATAAGATTGGTCCCAATTTAAATAAAATGTATAAAGATGAAATAAAATACAAATTAAAAAGAAGGAAATGATTCTAGAAAGATTTAATAGCTAAAGTGTTCTTCACAAGAAGAAAGACTAGGTTTCATTTTCCCATAAGCCACATACATACAGGTTAGGTGCATGTGGGATCCTCCTTTAATTCCAGTACACAGAAGACAAAAGCAGAGGATCAGCAGGAAAAGCCAGTACTAGACCTACTGCATCAGTGAGCTCTGAGTTCTACTGATAGACCAAGACTTAATGAATAAGGTGACAAGTAATCTAGGAAGGCCCCTGACATTAACCTTGGCCTCCACAGGAAAGCCGACATGCATATGTGCACATGTACCATACACATATATACATGAGAAAATAAAATTAAATTTAAGGAAACAGTTAAAGCAAGAAATTACTGTCTCATTTTTAACATATTTACTGATATTTTGTAAATCAAGCTTCTGTTTCTTATCTTGTAGGAGTGACATTTGAAAACTACATTTGAATAAGTAATTTAGATTACATTATCCCTATGCATATAGCAACTATTAAAAAATGCAGAGTCAAGTCATCAACAAAACTGTGTCCTAAAAGTGTTGGTGAGTCATTCACATTTAGCTATGTTTTACTCCTTTGTCTAAGTCTCATCAAATGCAAATGTCAATAAAACTTTGTGAGGAGATGGCACCTCATATTCAGCCAATAAACAGAAGTGTCATTCACAGCAACATGAAAATAAAAGCAAATAAATCCAAATCATTATCTTGGCAAAACTGCCTAATGACATCATTATCTAAAGACAATTCACATGAAAGAGAGGAGATAACTGTTTTCTTTTTGTTGTTAAAGAGCTTTGGTTTCATTTACAGACAAATTTACTCCAGTTTTAAAAAACAAAATACTATAAAATAATTGAAGCAACGGAATAATAGAGTCTGACATAAAAACATTAATTGTAAATTCCATATTTACAGTACAGTAATCTGTGTGTTTTGATTCTAGGGTCTCCTTTGTTTCCTTTTCAATGGTTTCATTTCATTACCCTGTGCTTCTTATTTAACAATTTATTGGATGAGACCTTTATCAAACATCAGGCTCAGGTAAAATGGCAAGAACAATTAAATTTACTGTATTGAAAACATCATTTATTTGTTCACTGTTATTTTAAGATCACCAAACTCTTGTTACTCTTGTTAAATACAGAATCATTCTTTCTATAGCACTTATAACTCTTAAGCACTTGCAGAACACAGGAACATTATTGAGTTTACTGTTGAATTCCCACAATACCTTCTTACTCCTGTGTTTCCTTTCTTTTCAACATAATCAGAAGACAGAGGCAAAGCTGCTATCTCCATCTTTAAAACAGTAATCAAATGGATGCATCAGAATTCTGCTTCCAAGTTTTGACAAATAAAAATTAGTTGCCTAGATTTCAAAGGGTTTTGGGTTACATTCAGCTTTTTAAATAGCCACAGTATTACTTATAATGGGCACTTAATCTGACTTTTGAACCATTTTCACTTACAGAAATTCTCTTTTCCCACTTTGTTTCTAAGAAGTTCTTTCTAAGGAGTTCTGCTTTTGAGTCAACTTCAGTGCATATGATGTCGTCTACTTATACTCTGAATACCTGTTGGATAGCAATCAAATAGAAAGCTAATTTTACATATTGAAAAGAGTTGAAATGTGCTATCTAAGACTTGGCTGTCAACACATTATGGTAGAATTATGTAATGGTATAACCATCTTGTAGCCCCCTGAATTATTTTAAGGAAATGTCTAAGTATACTCAATTAATCCCATATAAGAAAACAAAGATTGAAATTAGTAGTGTGATTATCCTAGAAACAGACATTTTACTATAAGTTGGGGTAGGTTTTACTAGAGAACTACAAGTGTATAGAATAACATAGAATAACAATGTGTTCACTGAAAATAATATTAGCGTGTGGGCATAGAAAAAGTATTTATTTGTTCTTGAATAATAGACATTTGTACTATTTCAACATTTTCTCTTATGAATAATGCTACTCATGAATACTTTGACTTTTAAAAATATTTTTATTTTATTCATGTGTTTGTTTTTCCCCATGTATGTCTTTGTACTACAAATGTGCCTCGTGCCCATTGAAGCAAGAGACGGCACTGGATCAACTGGAACTGGAGATATGGAAGGATGTGAGCCCTCATGCAGTACTAGAAACTGAACTAGGGTCCTCTGCTATATACTAAGTTCTCTTAATTGCTGAGCCATCTCTCCACCACCTCCACTGATTATACAGTACATAATAGAATTTTGAGCACTTTTTCTGAGTTTTTCTTGTTCTTCATACTTTTGGTAACCAGCTAAAAACTTTCTACCCTGTCCTAGGTAATGAAGTTTAAACCTTATGTTTTCTTCTAAAAGTTTATAGTTCTAGTTCTCAATTAAGTCCTTCACATATTTTGAACTAATTTTTAGGTAGAAATGAGAGCAGCATCCAATTTCATTGCTTTGCATGTAAAAATTTATCTGCCCTTTCACTAATTGTTTTTCTCTTTAGACAGTGTGAACTGAAGGTCCCTGAAAAATGATTCACATCTAAATTAAGTTTCTAGAATGCGCATCCATCTCGACTGTGGGAAGTTGGGAATGCTACAGAGCCAGAGATAAATAGCCCATATTTGTCTTTCACACTGCATAACAGCCACTCATTCCTTGCCTTGTTTTTGGATGTAACACCCACAACTACTACTTTGCTATATACACATATATGGTATTCCCAGGACTGCATTTATAACATTCCTTTAAAAAATCTTTTAATTCTTCTGTAATGATAAGAAACCATATAATCAGTTCTATATTGGAACTTATTATAGGGCAATCTTAGTCCAGGTTTCAGTGTTGTTTGTCACTCACACTTGGTTCAAGTGTAAAATATTTCCCATATACTTTGAAGTGAGAGCATTGTATGATGTCAACACTGGGATGAGGAAAGACATACTCTATCTTTGGCCACAGGCTCCCCTTGATGTGCTTTTAATAACTAGTCTGGAGAAACCATTTATTTATTGGATAACTTTTTATTTATCCAATTTTAAAAATATAAGCATCATATTTAGAATATTCACTGATTTCACTGACAAAGGGGTTCTAGCTTCTCGTGTAGTTGTTCTGATAACAACACTGTCCCTTAGGTTTGATGTCTCAAACTGTTGTCATAACACTGTGAGTACTCAGATGTTCCAAAGCACTGGAAGTTGACATCAGATCACCATGGACAATCTCGCTATTCCTTGATTTAGTTAACATATGCAGAGGGAAAAACTCACATTAATATTAAAATATGATAACAACTTACATGATTCAGACAATTATTAAGCCAGTATCTGATACTTATAAAATAAAATACGGTTTTAGGAAATAGAGGGCTAGCTCAGCAGTTAAGAGTACATATTTGTCTTATAAACTACCTGGGTGTGGTTCCCAGCACCCACATGGTAAGTCACAACCATTTATAATTCCACTTCCAATGGATTTAATGCTAACTTTTGACTACCACAAGCACACACATGACATGCAAATATAAACATATGTGGTAAAAACAATAATATACATCAAAATAAATAAATTAGTATAAAAGCGAAAAAAAATTTTAGTTGTAGATTTCCTGGTACAACATTCCCAGAATACTAACATAAGCTTATACCTTCCCATAGTATGCATAATTTAGAGACAGGAATTAAACCCATCTATCTTCCGGCAGTGAGTAGTTTTTGCTAATGAATTTGACCAAAAACTTCATAAAAATGATACAGTAGGTGACCTAATGGGAAATCTATGAAATATCTTTAAGTGATTCTGTTTAATTTTCATATATTAAAGTGTCACCTAGAATTATGCAAAATTATAAGATATAAACTTGTCCATCAAGGGCTTTATCATTTAAACATGGGTGTGATTTGAGCAGTTGATTCTTTTACAATAATACAGGATCTTGATGTCATATAAATACATGCTGGTAAAAGAATACAAATAAAATGGTTAAAAATTCAAATCTAGTTAAAAATATTTAGTTACTTCTATGGTATATCCTTTGCCCTCCAATTTGTAGAAATGTCCCTTTCAGTTGTTCTTAATCTATGTTCTCTCTTATTTCCCCTCAAGGTTTGACTATGCAACATTTTTATGCTCACACAGCTTCCCCTGTGTTCTTTGGAGTAATTACTCCTGAAGGAACATCTGCATCTTGTCCTTTCTGTATCCCTACATTGGACCAACTTAATTACATGGACTCTTTTGTTCAAGAAAGTATACTGATGGATCATTTTCCCAGTTGAGCTCCACAGCAATTAAAAAGAATCTTATCCCTCACTTTCATTTCCTCAAATGATTGGCTCTAGTGCTGAGTTTAGCATGGCTTCTAAAATGAAAATGTGCTAATGATTTCAGGGAAGTGTAAAACAGGAAAATTTGCAAACATTCAGCACACTACCAAGGGAATGTAATACAGCCAGTACTGTAACTTCATGAATTATAGTACTGAAATCTTGATCAGGGATTACAACTGAGCTGAACATTTTTACAATTCATGCTTTATTGTTCTTTTTGTTTTGTTTTGTTTTCTCTGCAGTACAATGGATTTCTGTGAATGCCATGTTAGTTTGATTGCAGTGAGAATCATCCCCATTCTCCATTTTATTTTGTCCACTTTTTTGCAGTATTATAAAAATGAGTCCGAAATGGACATTCTACAAAAATATCAAAGATACGACAGTGGAAAACATATTGTGGAAATTGTGCTTGTTTTTATATTTTCAACAATTAATAATTCCATATCTATTTTTTGCTCAGCTTGAGGACTAGATTTTGTCTAAGAAAAGACAGAAAACTGAAGATAAAGTGATAAGCAAGACACCTGACAGGGTGGAAGGGTGGAAGATAATCCTTCTCTGAAAACACACTAGAAACACACTTCATCATATGTCTTAGCCTTGTGTATCTTACATATAAGTTAGAAATATCTTACATATAAGTTAGAGAGAGAGAGAGAGATGAGATATGATATTCTACTATAGTACATTAAACTACCAAAAGAAGCTCCAAATGTCTGAAATAAATCATCATTTCAATTTTCCTCCCTCCCTCCCTCCCTCTAATTTCTCCTAAAGAATCTCAGGCTAGCCTTTACCCAACTCTGCTTTGTCTGACTTTTAACTTGTGGCACTCTTGTATCATTCTCCCATATATCTTGAATTAGCTCATCACCAAAAGACCCAGCCATGCAATCACATCCTAGAAAAACTAATTTAGAAGCATTGTATGTAGGTGGATTTCCTATAACACAGATTAAACAAATATTCAATGCAAAGATTTAACAAGATACAGTATTCAGAGTATCTGAATGACTTACAATGGCACTAGCAAAGTTGCTGGAGCCATAGTCTTAACATTCTCAGGCCAGATACTTTTGATACATATTTCCCATAATCAATATTGTGTTATTTATTAAAATAGACTCACTAAAGCACGGACATCATAGAATTTTGTGGGATTCCAACTATAAAGTATATGTGTGATAATACAATATATGGAATAAAAATTGAAGTTTAGTTTTATTTATTATTATTATTAGATAATGTCTCAAATATCACAGAGTAGCCTCGTATTTGCAATGTAGGTGAGGATTGCCTTGAATTTCTGCCTTGATCTTCCTGTTCTGTATCCCAAACGTTGGAATACAAACATACTGGTAGAGCACTTTGTTAACGCAAATGCCATATAAGATATAATATTACAATATATTTCCTCACTTTAAATTATGTAAATTTTGAAGTATTTATTATTCAGGAAAATGGATTATGATAGTAAATTATGACTAGTTATTTATTTTGGTTAAAGACACCAGAATACTACAATATAGATGTTTTCTAAGTATTTAAGCAAAGGAATTGCTTGTATTGTACTCTGTATAAATAAGAGACATAGAACAGCATACTAGATAAACCACCCACATTACAGGTTGTCAGTTACTAATATTCACAGAAGATCATTCATTTTACCTCCTTATTGGTTTATTGAGGAGTAACCTATAAGATATTATACGTTAGCTTTAATTTCATATTTACCACAACAAAGTTTTATTACCAAATATATTTTCCTTGGAGTATATAATATACTTGTAGACCAATATTAAGCAAAAATCATGCAAGAAAACATTAACTGTGTTTAGGACATAGTTTGCCACTAATGACTATTTAAATATATTAGCCCATGGGCTTTCAAATCACCTCTTTCTTGCTGTCAGGAAATAACTAACCTCCATTTCTTTAATTACTGTCTTAAGCTGCATAAATATTTACAAAAATGTAAAAATTAAACATATTTCCATTTGAGAAGTCTGAGTGCCCTGTTTCCATGGAAACAGTGTTTGAGTCTAAAACTCTATATATTCTGTAAGCAATAACCAGCAGGAAAGTTTCATTAATCAGCAGTAGCTTACTTTCCATAGTTCCTCTTCTTGGTACTGGACTACTTACTGTGTGAGAGAAAGAATTACAAAAACTTAAAAACAAACTTTGCATTGTGCATATCCTCTGTTGTCTGTACTTCATGTCAAAACCCAAGACAGCTCTTTGAATCATGAATTTTTGTAGAACTAGGAACATTTTTCCTATTGATATTATATACAAAATTTCTTGTCTTACAGTAGTGTGACTAAACATATAAACAGAAATTTTCTATGTCTGATAAGACTATTTTGTAGATGTTTTCATTCATCTCTATAATAAAAGTTTACATAAAGGAAAATATCAACAATTATTCATGGATATTGTTAATATTTAAACATGATCCCTTCTTCATAGATCATATCAGTAAAGAAAAACTAATTTTATATGTCACATTGACCAAGTAACATACTTTCATGTTGACATGGTTTTGATTTAGCTATATAAAGTACTTAAGTCTCAGATGGGTGACTTAAGGAATTCTTCACATGTCTGTGAATAGTAGTGTGTCATATATCCATTTTTAATATCAATTAGAAACTTACCTAAGAAAAGTCCATTTAATGGTGTTCTCGTAAGACAACTAAATACTACCTGAAGGTGATAAACCATTGTTACAAACACTGGGTTTTAAACTCAAAATAATGGTATCAGCAAAAAGGTAGATAGAAAACATGCAGTTATATAAAGGTCCCTATAAGATCTAGAAGCAGGAAATGAGATATTGTAGTTAAGAGGTATGACTGACTGTCTCTATATGGAGAATCTAGTGCTCTTAGAAAGTGTTCTGGAAGAAGAACTAATATTCATGCAATGGTCTGTTCATTCATAATTATTCCATTCGTGGGTGTTACTTTGTAATCATTTGTTATACTGCCTAGTTGTTCTGTGTATGTGTGTGATATTTTAAGAAAAGTTTGAAGTTCATTTAGAAAAGTATTTTATATAAGCAACTTATGGGAAAAACTCTAACCTGAGTCAATTACTAAAATCTTGAATAAAGAGTAATTATGTACTGTTGGGATGTATAGTGACAAAACTACAAGTAAAACAATTTACTCATCAATGCTTTCATTTACAAGTCGCTTAATACAAATAAATTTACTTCAGTGTGGCAAAAGAAGTATTGTGAGAAAATTAAATGATGGGAATGTTTTTATTTCAGAAATCTTGTTCCTGTACATAAGTATATGACAAATAATATTGCTCTTATCATGTTACTAAAGCCTGTCAGAAACCCAGAGCATAGACAAAAGAACATCGTTTTTCTGTATAGTTTTTCATTCTTTTGCTTTTCATCAAGAGGTGCTTTCCAGAGACCCAGTCTCTAATGTCTTTATAATCAAAAGCGTAAGTGTGTCATGATCCAAACCAAATTGTCTTAATGTTTTACATCAGGTTGTAACACTTATATTATCATATCCCAGTGGTTGCATTGGTCACCAAAATTCACTGATAGTTACTAAAAATACATCTTACTCTAAAAATGTTATTACTGTTAACTTAATGTTTTTGCCATATATCATTATCAACTTGAAGATGTAAAGTACATAAATTCTCTTTGTCCTCCAAAAAGCTCTCTCCTATTCCACATAGCTCTGTCTGGAAAAACATATGCAAAGGATGTCATAAGCCACAGCCACACATCACCCTCCTATAGTGGAATCAGAGTGTAAAGGGATGCTAGCTGAAGACACTCAGAGCTGAAGGGTCCTGAGAAGAAAATGAACAGGATGTTGCCTTCCCAGGAGTGCAGTAGGCATTTAGTTCCCTGTGAAGAAGAACTGATACACTGAAAGGTAAGGTTAGATGGTGGTTGGTTTGAAGGAGATTAGGGACCCTGTAACTTTCCAAAGAGAAATATTCATTAGCTAAATTCAACAGCAAACTTAGCAAGGAGCATAATATGAATCAACACTGGCTTCTCTGCTCTATTGTCTGTACTTCTTCAAAATGCTGGGATATTATTCAGTATATTCTCTGTCTATAGTGCTGAGGAGCTTCAAAACAAACAAACAAACAAACAACTGGAAGACAAATGGGAACTTAATTTCTGGAGACTTTTGACTTTTTTTAGGAAATACTCCAAAGATTTTCCTTTAGTCTGGCAATACTTCTGAGAAAATTGTGTTTTCATATTAGCTTATAAACCTCTTAACTGTTACTGAGTAACATTCCCTACAGATTGATGGGTTTGCAGAAGAGGAATCACTGCCAGTCTAGTACCAACACAGGTTCATAGGACCAGACCAGAATCACTCCATTGCAAACAAAGCTCCTTTCCAATATGTGTGCATGTGACTATACTTTCAAGAAAAAAAGACAATAAAGGAATTGCTTGTGTCAAGTAATAAGCAATATCATCTATCAGTTATATCAAGAATTTTCTAAAAGAGCATGACACACATGTAAGTTTTTAAAGGAAATACGATAGTTTTCAAAATTCACAACCTGAAATCTTCAGAAAGACCTTTGCAATGTCATACAAGCTGTAGTCTCCAAAGTAACTGTATTCGCCAAACTATCCACTTAATATTAGACTTATGCA